ATAGTTCTATTAATAGGACTAGACCGAATCTTATGTTTGGTATTTTACTGTGGCCTATTAATGGCCTTGTCCAAATATCTAATATATAATATGGAAAAGGTATTTAATTAATAAAAACCGTTAAAACCCATTTAAGGAAAACTTAAGTTTATGTACTTTTAAGAGTATGTTTTACGTACTATTAAGAGTAATGTGGAGACCCGGCTTTTATATTATCAGGGACGATGCTAGAGTTTACAATTTTGGGATACAGCATGTATAAGGAGATGTAAGGGAGCAGTGTGCGCCGAGATGGATATGTCACGGAAAGAAAATAATGAGATGAGGGCCAAATATCACCAGAGTCGAGTAATAGAACCACTTTTGTACAAGGTACGCGTGTAGGTAGTCGCATTTTGACACCATTCAAGCAATTTGTATTCATCTTATAGGGGAATCAACTGCTCAGCGGTTGTACCCGGCATGGGTATTTGCATGATCTGATATCTTTGACAAGCTGTTTTAGGGTTTAAAATCGGTACTGCGGCGCAAGCAAAAGCTGCGCTTGCGCCGCCAACCAAAGTTGCCCTAGGTATTGAGGATACTGCTATGTATATAGGTGACGCAACCGAAAGGATCGTGTAGCCTCTCACTCCGATTACAAGAAACTTGAAACAATGAACATAATATCATAACAGCATCCTCCTATATATGCCATGTGTCACCTGAGTTTTCAGGTGCTGCAATGGACAATGATATGTACTCATATCTACAATATGATGCAATTTTTACTACGATATAGGGCTAACGGATAGATACGAGCTGGAAAGCAACGATGCATGTGTAGTTACCCCCAGAAACAAAAAGCACAATAACCAAATCGTATTTGAGAGAAAGCGTTCTGTCGCCGATCGTAATGTTGCTAGGGAAAAGTGCAATATTGGGTGAACAATGGAAGAACTTGAGAACTATGCAGCTTTCGACACCAAGCAACGATACATTACTGAATCTGAGATGGTTCAGGCTGATAAAGAGCCCAAAGTGTACGTGAGTTGGTCAATCTGATACCACAAAGCCATAACTGGCAAGTGAGCATGACGAGGCGAGACATAGATTTAAAAAAAAGAAAACTGTATTAAATAGGGCTGATAAGAATAAAATTACTGCAGAGCCCGTGAATGGGTGGGATCGATACACTCATGACAGAGTTTTAAATTATTAAATTTATGATTCACTTTACAAAGTTATTCGTTGTTGGATATGGCTGCGTTCGCTTTTTAAGTCTTGCATCCCTATATCGCACCAAAAGCTCTCTGTAATAGCCGGGCCTCCACATTAGACCATACTCTAAAGACGTGCTCTTAAGCAGTACATAAACTATAAACGTACTCTTAATAGTACGTGAACCAAATAGTTTTAACGGTTCTATTTAAAGGTACCTTTTCCATTTTACATATCAGATGTTTGGATGAAGGCCATTAAAAAGCCCGATTAAAATGCCAAAGATAAGATTTGGAATAGTTTTATTAATAGAACTATATTTTATTCCAAATCCATTTATATCTGAATACTTCGGTAGCGAGATGGCTCAACCGAAAATAGGGTTCTAGGGACTATTAATGTTACCTAGTTGATCCTCCGTTCAGCCAACCAGATGTGCCAGCCCGATGATGGCAATTCGGTAATTCTTGATAAGTAGAAAATTATTGGTTAATATAATAACAAAAGATATCAAGAGTATTTTCTTTTTCTTTTACTATTTTGTTTTCTAAAGATAGGATTTCATTAGACTCTATGTATAAACGTACTCTTAAGCAGCACGCAAATTATAAACGTATTCTTAATAGTAGGAGGAACTTAAGTTTCCTAAAATGGGTTTTAATGGTTTTATTAATTAAACCCTTTCCATTTAACATATCAGATATTTGGATGAGGCCATTAAAAGGCCTCAGTAAAATATCAAACATAAAAGAGTTGGTCTAGTTCTATTGATCGAGCTTTATTTACTTTCCAATTTTATTTATATCTGAATACTTCGGTAGCGAGATGGTTCAACCGAATATAGGTTTCTAGGGACTATTAACGTTACCTAGTTGATCCTCTGATAAGCCAACCAGATGTGCCAGTCTGATGAAGGCTAAGTCGGTAATTCTTGATAGTGGCAAGTTATTGGTTAAGACAATAGCTATGGACATCAAGAGTATTTTTATTTTTATTTATTTTTTCTAAAGATAGGATTTTATGAGTCTATCGGATTCGCCCCAGAATAGAGCGACAACGAAACACTAAATAAAATCCCTTCGACGGAAACAGTACTGAGAGGATTATATATAGGCAATGTCTCAGCCTCACAATCCCTCAGAGTATTGCTATTTTCACGAGGCAATCCTAACTTTATTAAACGTCTCATTTCGTTTATTTATATCGATATTTACACGATATATAGAATTTCCCTACGCGTTTATTTATTCTAAGGCATTAGTATCGCCTTTATTAGACCGAATCTTACAATATTGTCTCCGTCTGTGCTACCCTTTGATCCAATCTCGTATAGCCTCTCTAATGCCGCTCTGATGTGAACGCAACTGTACCTATAATGGCAAAGGCCGAAGTCCCTTCTCTCTACTACCCGCTCTCAATGTTTATTCAGACAACAAACATTCTGCGTGTTCGATTATAACTGCTGTACGTTCCTTAGTCTTGGTATCAATACAAATTTAAAGGATGATCAATACATCCATGTCTTTCTTTGCCATGGAACGACTCATACTAGCCTCTACATAAAAATAAAACACATTTTTCTCAGAACAATACTCTTCTATCGCCCTACCTAACCCGACAGCGAAACTGTTCTTCGCTCGTGTTGTACTTTTGACCGTACGATCAAGGCTTTGTGTTTCTTAAAATATTCCGCAATATCCCACGATTCAACGCATAGCTTCTCATGCATCAGCTTTGTTTGCCTGTACTCTGCGAAGTCTGCCGTTTGAAGCTGTACCATTAGGTTCTTCTGACGGTTGACACACACACGAAGTAAAGCAGGAGGATTCTCGATAATGTCAACTCGATCATTCACGGCAATTCGTCTACTGGTATCATGTGCATTCAATCTTTCTACCAGCTATTGTCGATTGGTACCTTCAGATATAGTTACACCAATAGAGATAGCATGACGTCGAAGCTCGTTCATTAGCATAGTACTGTATGATAGGGCATCGCTGTCATGTACCCAGGGTAGATAGGGTGATGGTTTGGAAGTGCAGGGATATGATGTAGCATCGTAAAACCCTAATGTCCATCGGATGGCAACACGAGGGGTTACCAGAACATTTCCAGGCTAAAGAGTATCTTTATCAGGAAAGCCAAAAGATTGTAATGACTCCATTATCCAAACAGGTACGTTGTCATCATAAAAAACGAACCTCCCTAGTCTGGGATCATAAACAGGTTGTCCAAAAAACATTTTATTAACCTGAGAAATCTCATTAGCCACTCTTGCCCTATCCTCATGTTTATTAAAGCATGGGATCACTTCATCAAGCGATGGTTTAAGTTCTTGCAGCCTGCAAGTACATCTAACAACCGGCCCCTACCCACACCTGTTCTACGTCGATAGTCGTTTTGACAAAATATTGCACATGTATTACGTAAAAGAAGCCATGTCTTCTACACTGTTCATGGAAAGATTTTTGTATACTATTCTCCTTATACGACGGCTGTATATCTCCAAACTCAGCCCAAGTGAGTGAAAGCTCTGTTTCACGATAGATAACTGTAGTAAACTCACATCCCCCCTTTGCCATCCAGGATCCAATATAAGATTTTTCCCTCCGATTACGAGATAATCGATGTCATATGCAAGGATATACTTGATATATCCTATACGTTGTAGATGCACTAATTGTTGTTTGGCTTCGGTGGGGGCCAGTATATAATGTACACCCATTCTCTTCAATAGTTTTTTAAAAACAAAAAAGACATCAACAGCTATTTTATTTTGGTTTAATAAAAAAAGATTTCAGTACTTGAGAAGGCCATGTATTTTTTTAATTTATAAAAAATAGTAAATTTGAACGGGAGATCAAGAATAAAGATCTGTCGAAACTCAAAAACTGAGTAAATATTTAAAAAACCTCTCCGAGACTCAATACAGAGTTACCCAGTTACAGTCACAGTCTAACAGTCTTACACTGTATTTGTATTCTCAATTCTCAATTCTGGAGTTCATCAGACTTCAGAGTTTCAGAACCGGAGTCTCAGAGTCTCAGATTCGGGAATCCGAGAATCGACTTCTGAATCTCAGAATCAGAAGTTCTGTATGATTTTTAAACTTCTGTGTCAAGAAAATTAGAAAAGGGAAAAAGTAATGCTTTTTGTTTAAGAAAAACGAATCAAAAACAACTATAACAGTATTTCTAAAGCATTTTGTACAATAATAATGCTATTTTGGTTTTGTCAAAAGAAAAAGAGTGTAAAATTTTTACTATTTTCACTACTTTCAAAATTTTGTAACGTAAATACAAATACAACTGTCAACTCTATAGATACATACAAAATAACTTGTATTCATTCGCCTAAAGAGCAAATTTGTACTACATAAAATGTCTTTTGATAAAAAAAATGCAACATTGTTTTTAATGTTTTATAAAAATAAAAGGTGTAACTTGTATTTACAAATTTTGAACCAAGATCACACTTTTTTTAAAAGGGTTCAACTTTTTATAAAAATTTAACATCAACACAACCAGCGAGGGCATTGAAGAGGGTATAACAAATGGAGGTGGTTCCTATTTTAACATGTATTTTAAACATACTTGAACCCAGCATCGCGTGCTCTCAACTTGGCACATGAATCATCGCTGACGCTATATATAAATAGAGTAAGTTGTACTCACTTCTCTATAACCTATGTTTTGAATTTGACTAGTATCTCCATTGACACGCCTAAAATGTACACAATCGAAGAAATTACAAGTTGGGATCAAAATGAAAGTCTCATGCCACCTCCATATAAATATGCAATGCGTGATATTGCTACTCAAGGGATTTTCGTGGCAGATTCTTTGTTTGACAACTTACCTACGTCGGCCGTCATTTGTCATAATAGTACTGGAGTGTTGCCAATAAGCCCGGAACCTGAATGGGTTAGGTGGGGGTTGGTAGCGGAGGGTCAGAGATTATGGACGAACTATTTTGGAACCAGCTTCACAGCACTACTGATGTGCCTTATGTCTGGCTTCAATATTGCACGGTTTGGAGAAGTTTTGTATCACAACGGGTACGCCAAGGATGCAGAAACAGCTAGGGTACGATATAGTGCTACGGCATTCGCAGTGGCTGACTGGCTACGATTTCCCTTGGATGATGTAAATGGTAGATCCCGTCAGACGATTAATAAAGTGCGAGCTATGCATACGTTCGCGCGTCGCCGTAGTCGTCGCCTGTTCCAACCAGAGGAAGGTGTTGCGCTGAGTCAGTATGACATGGCAGAGGTATTGCTAGCTTTCAGCGGTATCTGCTTACAAGCAATGAAGGAGGATTTCAATACGCATATCTCAGGCGCGGAGCTCGAGCCAATGGTACACATGTGGCGGCTAATTGGCTACCATCTTGGTATCCAAGATAGATTTAACGTATGCGCATCTGTCGAGCGTATGAATAGCTGCTTACAAGAATTTAACACATTTTGCGAACAGCGTGCCGCAACAGCCCGGCCATATACAAATAAGCTCCGTTCCATGGCACTGGAGGGGTTCGGCACATTCACCGGTATCGGCTCAGTACTTTTAGGTTCCATGACATTCGATCTGAACTACAAAACAGATGTGCTCCAGAATAAATCGCTGGGCGAGAGACCAAAAATACGGGGCCTCACACGAGCGTCGAGTGCCGGATTGAAACGGGCTTCGAGTGTTGCATCTTTGGTCCTCTCGAGTAAAATCGGTGGCGATGTATTAAAGCAAGTTATATACTCTGCCAGTGATATCAGAAATGACGACAGACCGAAGTTTACACGCTATCAGAAAAGTTTAGTTTTGCTGTCCGAAGGGCTAGATTATTATGTATGGTCGCCACCGTCTAGTGTACCGTTTCTGACCATGGCGGGTTTCTGTGGGATATTCGTAGGTACTATGCTCTTCCGCCATGTTCTCTAATTAAATATTGGCAATACTTTACTCAACAAGTGATGCTAGCGTGCAAATGCTGAACAACTATACTAAAACTAAAACTGAATATGATGAAGGTTTTGATTTAATTAATGACAACTCAGGCGGGTAGGTCACCTCACGCCGCAAATTTGTGTCGCAAGTACATTGGATAGGTTGTCCAACATCCTTGACTTTGTGTACGGCCAAATATTCTCGTTCCACCGTTTGTCATGGGCGTATCTCCTCACTCCATAGTGACAGCTACAATTATTCTGATCATTCTCTCGCACCAATGAGCGCATGCTTGCTGTGGCGTTCAATGTATCGAACCAATCATACTCGTTCTGCAAAGCTGTTTGTCTCTCCTGCTCGACATCAATCGCCAATATCCTCGCGCAATCGTTTTGGATGTGTACAGGGCATTCGTTTACATCAGTGTAGCCTGCATCTGAACAACAATCATACCAGCCAAACCTGCTCATACCAGGACTTTTGATTATGACCTGCATTCCTTTGCCGCCAATCAACTCCGACCAGGGACAATCACTCTTCAGACTGGCAACAGTGACTGACGACTTCTTGGATAGTGCTGCAGATATAAAGAGAAACCACCAAAAATCTCTTCACTTCTAAAGTGATATTCATATTCAGTTTCAAGCTTATAAGTGTATGTGCACATATCTATGGTATGGGAAGGTGCGCTATGCGCGAGCCAACCTCAATAGATACACTGGAAAAACGTCGCGAGTGCTTTTGAGTGCAAGAATTACAGATATGGCTTATTGGGTTCCATGTTCTATTCGGAGCTTTCGAACCCTCAGAAAATCTAGAAAGCTTTGGCAAAGTGGGATATAGTTGTTCAATATTTCAATGATCTGATTCTGGAGCAACTTAAACTTGAGTTTGAAAATAACATACTGATCAGCTGTGTGCGAGTAATTAATCTATGTAGAACTTCACGTACCAGAACTGTCTCGAACGTCGTCTTCTAACTTCCTGCACGCGGACACCAATGCCTCAACGCCCTCAATATAAGTGTATAGTCCGCCCACCACCAGCACGACGGGTCTATCTTGTAGATGCTTTCTGTTAGACAAGTATACTTGGCATCGATCAGATGAGCATAAAAATTCGTGCATCATTACATGCGGATCTGTACATTTCCAGCTACATACATATGCCAAGGAAGTATGAGGCACTGAGCTATCCACAGACTCATAAGCTAATCACATCCTCTGACAAACTTAGATACAAAATCCGTTTCATTGAGGCCTGGTGTCTGAAGGCACACCCTAGCCCCTCGAGGACTCTATATTTTATATTCGTGTACGGCCGGGTACATCACACTGCACACAAGTAGTCGATTACATTCTGTCAGAGCACACAGTTCACTACAAGGAAGTGGCGATAGAGGAAATATTCCATTTCGTATAACGGGGCATAGGTGAGCCCTGCGAGTTAAATTTGAATCACAAGGCTGTTCGCAGTACTCTCAAATACACCATAATATAGCAGCAGACAAAGCAACGTCGAAATCAAGCAGCCCGATAGTTGTCCACCTGTTGCTTAACATCACCACCAATGTCTGTAGTGTTGTGTATCTCTCATTCTTGCATATTCGGCAGCAATACCTTACAAGCTGTTGGCTCACCAGCTTATTTATTCGCTACGAATACAACTCATACCCAGATCTAAAGTTGGCTCTCATTTTTTTGGGTCACATTAATTTAGTACACCCTACTTTATGTTTAATGAACACATTCTATCTACTCACCACTGCCTACCTTGAGATTTTGTTTAGCAGCGTGTGCCGAATCAACTCCTTGGCCGGCTGACTTCGATGCAGCAAGTAGTTCCAATACAGGCGGACACCTCTCCCCTTATCCTGCAAATTGGAATATCGATGCTTGTTTTGTTTTGTTTTGTTGTGTTATTTATATATATATATAATATACTTGGGTTTCTTATCATATATGCACACACAAATGCACATATATTTAGTTTATAGTGCTGTTCGTGTGCAGGATTCAAAACTATATTTCGAGCGATAGAAGGGCAAAAGAACGATCATTTTTTTCGTATTCACTTGTACCTGTATGCGGCTGTGCAATTTTGCGAAGTTGTGCCCGTTCATTGCCCACATCTCATATGCACCCACATGAGGCGCCACCATTCTTTTCGCAATCTGCCTCAAGGTAGAGTCGCCTAGAAATACGGACGTTATATTATCTAGGCAAGAGTACAGCAACTCGCCATTTGATCCCCTGTACTTTATAAATCAGACCGATAGTCAACATACGACTAGTGTACGAACCTGAGCTACAATTGGTAATACAACTCTCATTCATTTTGATATACACAAACTGAGTTACATAGAAATCACACACACACTTATTGAGTAATAGTGTCTCTCTGACACCATCAGGACTACTCGAAAATCGTGCTTTCTGTTAATAGGATTATTTCGCAATGAGTACAAGTTGCCTCAGATTTTTACGAATTGTTCTAGAAACTTTGTATCTGCTTCAAGTGACTGCATAATACAGCGATCGTATACAATCATGATAAGTTGATTACTCTCGTTCACAAACTTTGCCACATCAGATCTCAATAACACGCACTTTATTGGTCTTGTGCCCGTGTCATACCATTTGTAAAATACGTCCATGTACGCATAGTCACTTCTCATTCTGATTCCAACTTCAACATCAGTATACACATCCAATGAATCAGATATTTCAGAATATGTGTGTAGATAATCAGTCACAGATAGCTGACTTCAATTCCATACACGGAAAATTCATATCTTGTATGAGTAACACTCACCCAGTCCGCGTATTGACGTAGTCAACATCCCTGCAGTTGTCTTTGAGCCAGACCAAGGATCGCAAATCACACGTGGCAACATTCAAACATGTGTCGCAGTGGGCAGCCCAATAGGCTTCGGATCGTGTCGTGGCATTACAAGTTGGAAGCATATCTCTCGATCGGATATCAACTATTTACATGAGTAAATGTGGGATATGAAAACATGTCAGATCAGGTTTACAACTGTTTATACTTGCCAAGAATACATGCAGAAATAAATACGGGGAGGCGTTAGGTAAATAAAAGTCATAATGACTGTTGTGCGGAGATGTGAATTCTATCAAGTCGAGTACTTCAAGATATTCATAAGCATAAAATCATCAACATAAACGTTTCACAATCTGTGTGCACATTGATGTATTGGCGAAGGTCGTTTCACATGCGAACTCAAATATAAACTACAAGTTGTTTTGGAACCGTCCCTCAACTGCATAACAAAATACGAACACATAGGCAATTATAAATATATATATATATATATATATATATATATACATACTATACTACACACACACACACACT